AAAAAAAAAAAAAAACAAAAAAAAAACTATGTATGCCCATAATGTAGTGTTTTAAATATATATACATGTCAAAACAATGATATTCAGTTTATAAAAATATCACAATATCCTAACTAGCGAAACTAGTCAACACAAACTCATAAGCCAAATCATACTTCGTTTTCATCAGAGAAAGTCTGACTTCATTTTTCAAGTATTTTGCTTATACTAGACACTTTGTCTTGCCTTTTCAAATTCTCCCTCCGGTTTCTGAAAAGTCGGGCCCACAACCAGGTTTTTAAACCCTGGGGCAGTGCAACCTACTTACCTTCCTTTGGGTAAGATGCATGTCTTGTTCCTGAAATATCAAATAGTGAAGGAGAACCTGTATATAGTATACCCATACTTTCTCAGGCAGAAAGACTTTAGGAAAGAATACACCTAGGAGTTAAAGATACAGAAATTGCCTGTATAGTAATCCCTAAAAATTTTTGCTCGTCTCCCAGAAGTACGGAATTTCCAGTTTGAAGATCAGTAAAGGAAGAGTTTTTGCCTTTTCTAAAGGATGGGGAAGAAAACAGTAACTGGTGGCCTTCACTCCCTGGATCACTACAAGGGAGAAGGAGTATTATTTGATTGGAGATTTTGAAAGAAGGAACTGAGCACGAGTGACTCAGTTCATTCCAGCCTTGCTTTAATGGAGTTAAAGGCCTGTCCTCAGGAAACATTCTTTCTCCATTTGAGCCCCAGTGAAGGAGACCTGTGGCCATCTTGTTAAGCACTGATTTTGTGGAATGGGTTTGTGTAAGGGGAGGAGGAGTGGAAGTGAGGGTGAAGGCTATGTCTGAAAAACATTATCAAAGCAAATGTGGCTATGGATATATATTAAGCCTTTCCAATTCAGAAATAGGAATAATAAAACTGATAATAATTTATCTTCATCATATGTGTATGAACAGAAAAAAAATCTTGAGAAAGGTACAGGAATGGTTTTGGGGGCTCAAAATAGCAAGTGAGGCTTGCGACTTCTGGCATGTCAAGGAAGGGTTTTTGATTTTGCTGGATTATTTAACTTGTCCAGTGGCAGGAACTAATTATGACTGGTATTTAAACAGGGCAGGGTGAGAACTTTTTTAAAAGTAGAAGAGTTTAAATCAAAAAGCAGGATTTCATCTAAGCCCCTGTGGCCCAGATAGCATGGGGGTAGTGGGCTCTGGGTAGATCTTAGTGGGTATAGATGGGTCTTAGATATGCAAGTTCCTTAAGGTTTATTAATAAGTTGTCATTGGGGGATGGCCCTTTGGCAACAATAACTTGAGCCTAGGCTACCA